TGAAAAAAGTGTTTTGTTTTTTAAATCCCAAGCTTTGTGTCACCAGATCTAATTGGTGGCACTGGTCAGCGTATCCACTGTTAGCGTAACACACCCGCTTTAAGGACACTGACTGCTATTCAATCTATAACAGTGAAAAAGTGTTTTTTTTTTAAATCCAAGCTATTGTGACACCAGATATAAGTGGTGGCACTGGTCACCGTATCCACTGTTAGCGTAACACACCCGCTTTAAGGACACTGACTGCTATTCAATCTATAACAGTGAAAAAAGTGTTTTGTTTTTTTTAAATCAAGCTTTGTGTCACCAGATCTAAGTGGTGGCACTGGTCACCGTATCCACTGTTAGCGTAACACACCCGCTTTAAGGACACTGACTGCTATTCAATCTATAACAGTGAAAAAAGTGTTTTGTTTTTTTTAAATACAAGCTTTGTGTCACCAGATCTAAGTGGTGGCAATAGTCACCGTATCCACTGTTAGCGTAACACACCCGCTTTAAGGACACTGACTGCTATTCAATCTATAACAGTGAAAAAAGTGTTTTTAAATACAAGCTTTGTGTCACCAGATCTAAGTGGTGGCACTGGTCACCGTATCCACTGTTAGCGTAACACACCCGCTTTAAGGACACTGACTGCTATTCAATCTATAACAGTGAAAAAAGTGTTTTTGTTTTTTTTAAATACAAGCTTTGTGTCACCAGATCTAAGTGGTGGAACTGGTCACCGTATCCACTGTTAGCGTAACACACCCGCTTTAAGGACACTGGCTGCTATTCAATCTATAACAGTGAAAAAAGTGTTTTTTGTTTTTAAATCCAAACTTTGTGTCACCAGATCTAAGTGGTGGCAATGGTCACCGTATCCACTGTTAGCGTAACACACCCGCTTTAAGGACACTGACTGCTATTCAATCTATAACAGTGAAAAAAGTTTTTTGTTTTTAAATCCAAGCTTTTGTGTCACCAGATCTAAGTGGTGGCACTGGTCACCGTATCCACTGTTAGCGTAACACACCGGCTTTAAGGACACTGACTGCTATTCAATCTATAACAGTGAAAAAAGTGTTTTTTGTTTTTAAATACAAGCTTTGTGTCACCAGATCTAAGTGGTGGCACTGGTCACGTATCCACTGTTAGCGTAACACACCCGCTTTAAGGACACTGACTGCTATTCAATCTATAACAGTGAAAAAAGTGTTTTGTTTTTTTAAATCAAGCTTTGTGTCACCAGATCTAATTGGTGGCACTGGTCAGCGTATCCACTGTTAGCGTAACACACCCGCTTTAAGGACACTGACTGCTATTCAATCTATAACAGTGAAAAAAGTGGTTGGTTTTTTTTAAATTCAAGCTTTGTGTCACCAGATCTAAGTGGTGGCAATGGTCACCGTATCCACTGTTAGCGTAACACACCAGCTTTAAGGACACTGACTGCTATTCAATCTATAACAGTGAAAAAAGTTTTTTGTTTTAAATGCAAGCTATTGTGACACCAGATATAAGTGGTGGCACTGACTGGGGAAATGGGCACAGTATCCACTGTGAGCCTGACACAGAAGCTAGCAGCAGTGGCAGACAACTGACTGCTATTCAATCTATAACAGTGAAAAAAGTTTTTTGTTTTTAAATCCAAGCTATTGTGACACCAGATGTAATTGGTGGCACTGACTGGGGAAATGGGCACTGTGA